TCATTAGCAATATTCCGTTGTTCTTGTGTTTGAAAATCTTGGTCAATATCCCTTTTAGAAACTGATAATAGTGGAGACGAAGAAGATTCATCATTTGGTGCAACAGGAAACTCATCCAATCTGCACTTCTTGTGAAGAAAATTGTGCACTGCTGCACAAGCTAATACAACCTCTTTTTGTAAGGGTAAAATCCTGTACTTTCCCTTATTTTAGAAGGCACTGCTAATCCATGTTTGGCCATCATTTCCGGTTTGTGTTAAAGGCCTTCAAAACTTTGTTAAAATTTCTACTAACAGTCTAATGTGATCGGCCAAACGTATCACGTAGTAGACAATATCTCCTATTGTGTCCAACAATAAGCAAAAATGTTGCAAGCATTTCTTCTATGTAAATGAATCTTGTATCTCGTAAGAGTGTTTTTTCTCTAATAATAGTGCATAACTTCTGTTGACCTTAAAAACTACAAAGCCTACATGGCGCATAGGCCGAGTAGCTAATGAGCTAACTACATCATTCGGTTAATGCGGGGCATGTCAACTCGTCGGCTGAGCCTGACCGAGGAGTAAAATTTGTTGATGTTGCGTTGAACGCACTATTGACTTCTTGATCTTGCAACTGTGACCGAGGAAGGAATACGTCTCAGCCTTCGAGTTCTCGAGCTTGAAGACAAGGTTGGTAGTTCTGCGAAGTTCACGAATTGTCGGCGTCGAGTTCGGTCACGGTGATTATATTCGTAAAAGTATAAGCACGTCGAACCGGCTCCAAACTATACGGACATAGGTACTCAAAAGAGATGTATGTCTTGATGGTAAATGTGGTTTGGCCATCAGAATACCGAACTCTGAAATTTACTTGTGAGTATCCAATTATAAAATCACTTGGCATTCAATGTGTTGAATGTAGTGACTTGTAACACCTTACTTTGCCGAGAAGGCTAATAAGATGACCTCTGCTAATAAGGATTCGGAAACCCTTCTCGATTGAGACTTGGATAGGTAACTAGTCGGCCTCGATGCAGTGTTTATCCAAACTGAAGGTGCTCCTTGGTCGGTTGATTTTACAGCAACAATGTTGTTTATCCAAACTGAAGATGTTCGCCGGTTGCCTTTACAGTGCTGTTTATCCAAACTGAAAGTGTGTTGGCGGAAAAAGAAAATAAAAAATTTCAAGATGTTTGAGAGGCTTGCGCAGGGTAATTTGTGTGTTGAATTGGAGGGGTCCTCAAATGTTGTCTGCGACGTTGTATTTATAGTAGCTGTCTTTTGCTTGACATGGCTTGATAGATTTATAGAGTCCAATTGTTGCTCTAACTTTGTAGAACATCACTTGACTCAAACTTGTGTCCCATCACCTTAGCCGTCTAATATCTCTAAGATATGATAAAGGCTATCTCGTAATTTTCCTTGAAAAGATTAAAAATATCTTCCCACTTACGAGGCCTGACCAAATGAATGCATCCTATTCCAACCGAAACTTCTTTTTCTCCACTATATTAGTCCAAGTGCAACCATGCATGCATGATAATTAACATATCATGGTTGATAGTTTTGCATTATCTGCAAAACCACCCTGATCCCATCACATCACCTCATTTTGACTAATCCAAAAGGCATATCCACATGCTGATCATCCAATATTAATTGCATCCTTGTGGTATTATTCCATGTGGTTCTGCATGCAAGATAGGATTTTAATGCTGCACAGCATTTCACATAACCTCTTTTGCATGGAACTTTACGTGTATCACAACTATGTACACTTTAAAAATATTTTCAAGATAATTACTATGATAAAAACAACAATAGTAATGTTAAGAAAAATCTCTAATCATCCGACGACCTCGATTATTTGAGCCAATGATGTAATTTTGGGTCCAAACATTGCCCTCCAGTTTCCTTGAACTTCGGCTCACAAGCCAAATGGTTAAGGAAATTAAGTTTCTCCAACCAATCAGGAGTACTTTGACCGTCTACTTATCAGGCCGAGAGGAACCTATTGCTGTGCACTTGATTCTTAGTAACTTGTTGGGAGAACATAGTCATGGCTTCTTTTGACCAAAGAACAACCCATGGTCGACGAGAAGTGATAAACAATCAGGCCCGATTTTTTCTCGACCTCCTTAAACAATATGTCTTCCAGCGTGTAGTAAAAATTGGTCACTTCGAGCCGTGGTAGATCCTCCGTGAAAGGCGGGTCGAGGTCGAGAAAAATCTTTCTTGGTAGCTTGGCCTACTTTTATGTGTGTGTGTGTATATATATACCTCGACGTGTTGGCCGAACTCAGCCAAAAAACTTTCGTCTTTCCAAGGGATTCTGACAACTTGGAAGCAAATCATGATTCCTCACGCTACAACATGTCCATAGGCTGAAGCCTATATCTAATTAAATATCCTTCTTTTTCCCTTTTTCACTTCTACCAAAAGAAAATAGTAAAACCACTTTTGCTGAAGAAGAAGTTTGCCATCACCAGGAAAAATTTTACATGCACGCATCCAAGGGCTTGCAACATTAGCAACCGAACCCACCTGTCCCAATCATTGTCAAGCTGGATGGTAAAACCACTTTTGTTTTCTTTTTTACTAATCAGAGCCAAAACCAATCTTGCCGAGCTTGACAATACAAGACCTTGAATCTGCCAACGTCTATATGGCCACCATAGCATCTTCTCGACTCTCGGCCTCGGCCTAGAAGGTTGAAAGTTTTATATATATATAGTCTGTGTACGAGGCATTGCCCCCCCTATTTTCTTATGCATTGGCTTAATTAGCCATATGATTAGGAAAATAATTTATTCCTTTTATTAATAAAAGACAACGAAAGTGGCCGAACTAATAAAGAGGAGGAGGCCAACGATGCTTTATTCCAAGCTGAGATCTTAGACCAAAAAAAGAATTTTCTATAAATATTTTTAACTTGATGAAATATTTTTCATTTTCAGCCGTTGAATGTGTTGAACAATTATTATGCCCCCAGGAATAATTTCTTCGCCAATTTCGGCTTTCAACTCGAACAATTTAGCCGAACGGGATTTCTCTGTATCGGCTTTATCACCAATAATCATATTGATTGGTGTAGTTTCAGCGTCTAAAATCATGTCTCCAATTACCATATCAATTGATGTGGTTTTATGGTCTAAAGTCGTGTATTGGTCTTGTTATTCATTTGAACACTTATACGACGAATCATTTTTTGAGTCAATTTTTGGCTTAGAAACTTGAACATTTTCTTTTAGGCCTACCACACTTTCAGTCTTGACTGAAAAATAAGGTGGCCTTTGTTTTTCGGCCAAATTAACAATTTTCTTAGGCCGATGTCTGATTACGGCCGGAGCGAAAAATTGTCCCCCGGTCTTTTCAACCAACCATTCCTCAAATGGAATCGATTTGTAGTCGAAAACGTAAGGAAAATATTCTCCATCTAGCCAGGTATTAAATCGAGTCTTGTCTTCATTTAACCATTGCTCTTATTCTCAACATGTAAGTGAATGACTTTTGCATCTCTCTATGGCCATGAAAAACTTTTTCCACTTCCAAAGGTCTTTTTCGTTTCTCATTGTGTTTTTTCAATTACTCTAGGAGCTTGTACAATCGGCTACGTTGAGCCAGATTGGAATTTTGATATATCATATGAACTTCGTAGTTTTAGCATTGGGTCCCACTGGGCGTGCTAAAATGTTGACCTTAAAAACTACAAAGCCTACGCGGCGCGCAGGCCGAGTAGCTAATGAGATAACTACGTCATTCGGTTGATGCGGGGCGTGCCAACTCGTCGGTCGAGGAGTAAAATTTGTTGATGTTGTGTTGAATGCGCTACTGACTTCTTGATCTTGCAACTGTGAACAAGGAAGGAACACGTCTCGGCCTTTGTGTTCTCAAGCCTGAAGACAAGGCTGCTAGTTTGCAAAGTTCACGAATCGTCGAATCCGGATTTGGTCGCGGTGATTATATTCGTAAGAGTATAAGCACGTTGAACTGACTCCAAACTATACGGACATAGGTACTCAAAAAAGATGTATGTTTTGATGGTAAATGTGGTTCGGCCGTCAGAATGGCGAACTCTGAAACTCACTTGTGAGTATCTAATCATAAAATTACCCGACGTTCAATGTGTCGAATGTAGTAACTTGTAACATCTTATTTCGTCGAGAAGGCTAATAAGATAACCTTTGCCAATAAGGATTCAGAAATCCTTATTGACCAAGACTTGGATAGGTAACCAGTCAGCCTCGACGCAGTGCTGTTTATCCAAACTAAAGGTGTTGCTTGGTCGGCTGATTCTACGGCAACAGTGTTGTTTATCCAAACTGAATGTGTGTTGGCGGAAAAAGAAAATAAAAAATCTTAAGATGTTTGAAAGGTTTACGCAGTGCAACTTGTGTGTAGAATTGGAGGGGCCCTCAAATGTTGTCTGCGACTCTATATTTATAGTAGCTGTCTTTTGCTTGGCATGGCTTGATAGCTTGGTAGAGTCCAATTGTCGCTATAACTTTGTAGAACATCACTTGACTCAAACTTGTGTCCCATCACCTTAGCCGTCCAATATCTTCAAGATATGATAAAGGCTATCTCTTAATTTTCCTTGAAAAGATTAAATATATCTTCCCACATACGTGGCCTGACCAAATGAATGCATCCTATTCCAACCGAAACTTCTCTTTCTCCACTATATTGGTCCAAGTGCAACCGTGCATGCATGATAATTAAAATACCATTGTGGATAGTTTTGCATTATCTGCAAAACCATCCTAATCCCATCACATCACCTTATTTTAACTAATCCAAAAGGCATATCCACATGCTGATCATCCAATATTAATTGCATCTTTGTGGTATTGTTCCACGTGGTTCTGCATGCAAGATAGGACTCTAATGTTGCACGGCATTTTACATAACCTCTTCTGCATGGAGCTTTATGCGTATCACAACTTTGTACACTTTAAGGATATTTTCAAGATAATTACTATGATTAAAAAAAAAACAATAGTAATGTTAAGAAAAATCTCTAATCATCCGACGACCTCGATTATTTGAACCGATGGTGTAATTTTGGATCCAAACAACTTCACAAACACATCAGGATACATTCTATACCTTTGTCGGAAATCCTCTGGGCGGTCCTCTCTCAATACTTTATGTATATAATTGTATCATTCCATAGTAATTGATCGTCGATTTAAAGGACGTTCAATAGGTTGTCCAAATGTAATTATAAGCTCTTTTAGCACGTGGACTACAACTTGAATTGCCATCAATGAATATTTAATGGTTTCATAAAGTTCTTCTTCCTCAATTTGTTCTTCATCAGTTTCTTCTTCTTCTTCAATTTGTTCTTCCACCATTTGCTCCACTTCCATTTCTTCATCCACTTCGTCCACTTCCATTTCTTCCCCACCTTTGGCTTTTGTGCTTGTTTGAGACATTACATAAACTACCCAATCAAATAAACAAAACCATAAAGAAGTTAACAAACTGAAAACCATATATATAATATCAACTATAAGAGATAAAGAAATATAGATAACGTCAAAGACACAAAAAATTAAGAACAGTAAGAAACCTCAGTTGCTCCAGCCGACCATAAATACAGTAAGCCCTAGTAATTCTTCTTTCCCATTATTCTTACCATCTAAAAACACAAACCACAATTAAACCAATTATCAATTTTAAGGAGCTAAAAACACGTCATTTTGTATTCATGAAAAAATGCTAATCATAATAACCAAATTCATAAAACACCCAAAGACCAATTCAACCTTGAATTTTTCATATCGAAAACATGATCTAATTTGGTAGCCAAATAAAGCAGAAACTCAATACCATCGCTCAAGGCCTGCGAGCTATTCCAGGCAAACCAATTCAACCATGACCGTTATTATATCTTGAATTTTCTCGGCAACCAAACATAAACCGAAGAATAATCCAAGTGGATCATACTGTTAAACAAGAAACCAAGTCAACATGAAAGTCCTATTCAATTACTTAACAGCTTTGCATTTAACTGTAATTGTAGATAATTCAGTTTAGATATGTATCACTTTGTCTAGGACTCATCCTTTGAAATCTACATGTACCGTGAGTATCAGTGAAGAAAGAAAGTCTTCCACAAATTCTCATTTTGATAACATTGTTCCTTTATCTCTGCACTACATTTTCTACACATACATTCAAGGGGGGAGGGTTGGAAATTTCTGCTTTATTAGCGCTGAAAGCTAACAGACCTTGGTACTGACTTAGATCATGGTATTGAAATTTCTGCTTTATTAGCACTGAATTCCAATTGGTTTCTTGTTATTGTTGAAATTTCAATATTCTGTATGGGTTCCTGAACTTTCTCGGCAAACAAACAGAATGCAAAGAATAATCCAAGTAGATGAGAAATGGGTAAGAAAAACGTACTTGCAGGTGTGGATTCAGGATGATGTATCTTCAGTTTGCGAGCATGACTCTTCCTCTTCTGTTGTCTGGCGTGAAAGAAATCAGAGGGGGGGGGGGGGGGAGGGGGGGAGGGTTGGATTGTTGATAGCATTTGGTATTTAAATTACCCATCTTCAAATCCATTGAAATCCCCCATTCCTTAAAATCCTAGTAAATCTTTAGTATTCTCACTACACCTAGATTTGGATGAACTTTTTTAAAACGTAATTGACTACCTATGGATTTGAATGTATTATTTAAAATCCTGCTAAATCCTAACTTGACTACATCCTGATTTCAAAGTCCTTTAAAATCCTTTTTAAAATTTTAATTGACTACATTCAGATTTTAGAGTCTATTAAAATCCTATCAGATCCTAATTTGACTACACCCCCTTTAGTTAGTTACGAATATTCATCCCTAGAAGGCTTGAGTTAGTTCACTTGTGTGACATTAATAATATGGTATTTAATTTGCCTGCCTTGCTTTTGAAGCTTTTGATTTTTGCAATCTTAAATATTTTTCTAATTTCAGCTTAACATTTCAGATATATATTTTTTGGAATCTTAAGCTTTCATATATATATATATATATTTTTTTTTTTGTTTTAAATTTACATCACATTTTACAGTCTGCTATCAATTCAAATCCGTAACATTTTAGCGTGTCTAGTTTTAGCGAAGATCACACTTCATTTTTTCCTTGGAAACTAGAAAGATAATTCATCGCGTGCTGGCGATAATTTGAAATTGCATTCTTTGCTGCTCGTTTGTAAATGTTTCTAAGATGTAAGGTGGCTGTTGATGGTTTCTTTGCAGTCTTACCCCTCTATGACAGACTGCTTGAAGTCTGGCTTGTACAAATGGGCCGGTGATGCCCGAAGCTTCAACAAAGAGGTGCCTTATATAGAGCTAGTGACCTCCCCAAACAACCCTGATGGATTCGTCAGGCATTCCATGGTCAATCGAACAGGGGGTATATTGGTTCATGACTTGGCCTACTACTGGCCACAATATACCCCGATTTCTTCTCCCGCAGACCATGATCTGACCCTGTTCACAGTCTCCAAAGCTACTGGCCATGCAGGGACACGCATTGGGTAAGCTCAATGCTGTAATCACAGAGTCTTAGTTCTTGTGTCCTGGTTGTTTTGCTCTACGAACACTAGTTTTCGCATTACGAAAAAATGATCTCTACTTGAATTTCTCTTCCAGGTGGGCTCTTGTTAAAGATCTGGAAGTTGCAAAAAAGATGATCAAATTCATAGAGCTCAACACCATTGGCGTGTCCAGGGATTCGCAGCTCCGAGCTGCCAAGATTTTAGAGGTGATGACCAACACCTCTGAAAACCTTGGCAGCTTTGATTCCCACGAATCCTTCTTCAAGATTAGCTACCACCTCATGGCAGAGAGGTGGCAGCTACTTAGAGCGGTGGTGAACAGGAGCAGAGAGTTTAGTCTGCCCGACTTTACACCAGGGTTCTGCCACTTCCTCAACCAGGACTCCCAGCCTCAACCTGGTAAGTGAAAAATCATGAAACGATTAATTAAGAGTCACCATACATAACCTTGTAAACATTTCTGAAGCGTTTAAAGTGAACTTTACTGTTTACCTCTTTTGCAGCTTTCGCATGGCTAAAATGTGAGGACGATCACGTGGAAGATTGTGAGAGCTTCCTAAGAGGATACAAGATATTAACAAGAGGAGGAAGGCACTTTGGAGTTGGTCCAAAGTACGTCCGCATAAGCATGTTGGATCGGGACAACAACTTCGACTTATTTGTTAAGCGACTGTCCACGATCCAGTCATGACAGAATGGAACGCTATGTTCTTCCTCATCATGTTCTATCTTTTGGCGCAAAGGTGGATGTGGACCTGTTGCAGAGGAAGGTGAGGGCAGTGTCACATATTGATGTGGACCTGTTGCAGAGGAAGGAGAGGGGAGTGTCACATATTGATGTGGACCTGTTGCAGAGGAAGGAGAGGGGAGTGTCACATATTCGTTCATATGTAGAGTAGTAACGGAAAGTAATACAAACTGTATTCATCTATTTAAATGATATGATTTTTCAATGAAATTTTCGAGTCCAAATTCATCGGTCCTTCGAAGAATGAAGTTTTTGGACTAAGTTTGCAGAAAAACTTAAGCAAGAAGTCCATGAATAAGTAAATGAATATACCTTCCAGCCAAGGGGGAGGTTGTAGCTCCTTACATGCCCACCATCAGATTCAGAGCGCGTTCCCACTCTCCCATGCCACTCATTTCTACATTCCCAACTTCAACTCCCTCAAGTTTTCCTCTCTTTAGGCTTTTCCTTCCCTCTCTTTCTTCCACTAAAACCTAGAAATCGACTCAAAGTTCTAAGTTGGCAACCATGACAAAAGTTCGACCGATAAAAACGATGGTGAAATCAAACTTAATCAGCTACAGACAAAAATTTTACTGATTTCACGTGAAATCAGAAATCACACATGTATAAACAATTGTTGATTGTGTTCAATCAGTGTGGTTGAATTACAACTCCCTTTTGTTCTTTATATTTTAAAACACTACTAGAAAGTGATAACTGGGAACTAATGAATATTGTGTAAATGTTTGTTTGTTTGTTTTTTATTTTTTATTTATTTTTATCTTTTATCTTTATCAAAATTATGTAAAATGATTTGGGGATAAATTCTTTAAATGAGATTACGATACATGCAGAGACGAATATTTCACCAATTTTAATTTCATGTTGCTTACGTAAATATCAAACTGAATAGAGATACAAAAAAAATCTCGATAATTATCTGGTCCATGTCCTACGTCTCCCTCCTCATTTTAGACGTTATCCGCTCGCCATAACCGTTGCACATCTCTAGTCTGACTCCATGAAGTCAAGCATGCACTGAGTGATGCATGCCGCTTATATCTTGGTGATAGGATATCATATTGCTTGGCCTTTCTCCAGTTATTCATATTCATCATCAACAATAACAGCAAGATGCTTCATACAATTGAAGCCTGGCAGCTACTACAGATTGAAAATCACCCTCCCAGGCTTCACCTGTCTAAAGCAAAACTCTTTTAGCATTTACCACAAGTCTGCGTATCCTCTTACCCCAATTTAGAAGAATTCAATTTAGATAAGTAAATTCATGAGCACACATCACCAGCTTGGGCTGCTTGTTAGCAGCTTCTAGTCATAAGTATCATACACTTTCCTGTTGGAAGTTGGATGATCGAAAATCTGCTTGCATTGTTAACGCGACGGAGTCACCGCGGTTAACATAATCAGGCGATCGAAGAGCAAAGAATGATGTGCCTCAACGGTTTGCCACTTCAGTACTTCCACCAACTGAATCATGGTTCACGAATTCTGCCGGGGAATGAAAACTGCCATGGCAAACTTGGTCAAATTTCTCCCATGCCACTCATTTCTATAGTGAAAGTACGTTTCCATTACTTTTCTCAAATATATCTCTTTCTCAACTATTCTCACCTCTCTCCCTCTCCTTCTCCCTCAAAAACCTAAACACCTACTCTCTAAGTTGACGACCATGATAAAATGAAAAGACTAGTTGTGAACAGTATATTTATCACATTCATAAAGAAAGTTGAGAGGTACTTACAGAAAATTGGACGATGAAACCTATACGGGGTCAAAACTTGTTTAGCTATGAGCTAATTAATTCTTTTTACATGTTTCACGTGAACATACTGAGAAGGCAAACGATGGTTACAAAACGTAAAAGCTAATCGAGACAGTTTATGACACATGTATTAATTTTCTTGTCAGTTCACGTGATGTTGGTTATAAAATTGATTTACTCACAGACAAGCACATTCACCAGTTTCACGTGAAATGACAGAGAAGGTCATGAAAGGGTATAACAATCACAAAATTTAAATAGCATTCACTTGTTTTAGGTGAACATACTGAGAAGTCAGGCAATAGTGTCAGAAAGTAAAAGCTAATTGACATAATTTTTTACACACGTATTAATTTTTTTGTTAGTTCATGTGATGTTGATAATAAAATTAGTTTGGTGACAAAAGAAGCATCAACAATTTTAGGTGAAATGATAGAGGAAGTGACACATGCATATAACAGTTACAACTTTTAAATATCATTCACTTTCTTCACGTGAAGATACATAGAAGGCAGGCAGTAGCTACATAAAGTAAAAGTTAAACGAAACAGTTTATGAGACACGTATTAATTTTCTTGCTAGTTCACGTGATATTGATAATAGAGTTTGTTTGACGACAAAAGAAGCGTCAACAGTTTCACGTGAACTGACAGAAGAGGTGACACATGCATGTAACAGTTACAAAATTTAAATATCATTAACTTGTTTCACGTGTACATACATAGAAGGCAAGCAATAGTTATATAAGTAAAAGTTAACCGAAACAGTTTTTGATACACGTATTAATTTTCTTATCAATTCATTTGACGTTAATAATAAAGTTAATTTGGCTACAAAAAAAAGAATCAGCAGCTTCACATAAAATGACAGAAGAGATTACACTGTATATAATAGTTACAAAATTCCAATACGATAATTAATCGAAATGAATTATGGTAATTGATAATAAAATTTATTTTTATGTCACTTTCACGTGATGGAATCCTCCAAGTAAAAGTTGTTGAAAAACACCTTTAGAAATGAAAATTATATTTATATTAAGGCAAGTGATACATGCTCATCTTTATCTTGTTGGCTTTCATTTGATTTCTTCAACCTAATGTTGTTTCCTTAAATTTATTATTCTCTGATGGTTGAATATTGATGCATAATGAAAATTTATAATCAAATTTATTGTATATGTGATATAGTTTTACTGGGTGTTGGGTCTCATATATGTTTTATGAGACAACCTATAAATTTCAAGTAGAAGAGAGAGTCCGCAAGGGGGGACAAATTTTGAATTTCAAGGAGTACAACGGTAATTTTTGAATTATAGTGTAAAATGAGATTAAAATGGAGTTCTAAGTATTGTAGCTAAAAATAGGGTAAATTACATAATACCTCCTCAGGTTTAAGGTCTATTACAACCCCGTACAACATCTTTAAAACATTTCACTTTCATACATCCCATACCATTTTATTTCAGAATAACACCTCCGTTACATTTTTCATCCATTGGTCCGTTAAATGCTGACATGACATTAGTGGACCTTGTTACACGTTAGCCCTCTCCCTCCAAAACTTGCACACATGGAGCCACATGGATTGACAACATGGTAAGTTTAAAATTAAAAAGTTTCTTGAATCTCTAACCCACTATTCCCATCCCAATAACCAACACAACCCCACTATCATCAAGCACACCACCATTCCCAAACCCATAATCGAGAAGGATAAAGTTCTGGTAACCCTAGCCCCCGGTAGTGAAACCCTACTTCCATTGCGAAACCCTATTTCCATCACTCTTTACCCGTCGATGTCCTATTGGCGTCGTACTCACTACCCATAACAACCCTTAACCCGCGACCTGCAACCCACAACCCACAATCCACAACCCAGAACCAACTCCCGATTGCAACGATAATCAAGTGCTTCGAAGTTGAAGGTTGAAAATGATCTAGGAAAGGAGGGAGGATCCTTTGGATCCATTCCTAACATACGGTTAGTGCTTTTTGGTTTCTTTATTTTGTGTTGTTCTATAATGCTTGGACTATTCAAAAATGGTTGGAGTGTTCGAAAATGTTGGGGATATGAAATTGTGTGTACTTTGTAATTTTGATCTATACTTCCTAATTTTAAATTGCTTTGTTCGAAAATGGAGGGGAACTAAAAATTGTTTGGTGTTGTCGGTTAATGGAGGACTTTTGTCTTTGTTTAATCATGTTGGAAAAAAGCTTGTGGGTTATGTATGTTTGGCAGTGCTTTGTTTATACCTTTATCTGTGTCTTGTGTGTATGATGCTTTATTTATGCCTTTATCTATGCATTTAGCTATGCCTTTATTTGGGACACCACATTGTCATTTGTGGTGTGTCTTTATCTGTGAATTGTTTTGTGGTCTTAGGTCTTGAATTTTAGGTTTCATCACTTTAAAATAGGAATTTTTTATGTAGAAATTGGGATTTCATCAGTTTATAATAAGGTTTTTTATGCTACAATTTCAGGGACTAATGAACTATTCACAATCAAAATGTATCACGGTGGATAACTTAGTGAAGACTTCTATGTTGGAGCGAATGTGGATTTCTTTGATAATTGTGACAAAGATTTCATGTCATTGCTCGAGGTTGACAATATGGTTGAGGAGCTGGGATATGGAAATGTCTTCATGAGTTACCAGTATCGGATCCCAGGGATGGAAATTCGAAATGGGTTGAAGCCTTTGATGACAGATTCAGATGTTATCAACATGTGCACATTTGTGCCAAACCACACTTTGATTGATGTGTGTATTGAGAAGATAACACATGAAGAATATGTCTCTTAAGAGATGGAGTTTATGAAGTCATTTGAACCGGTTGCTCAGAGTAGGGTGGTTATTGAAGAACTTGATGGTAATGAGGATGACAAGTGCAATTTGATAGCGGAAAGGCCAGTGCAAGTGAATAGAGGAAAGGCCAAGTTAGCCATAGAATATCCAGTCAGTGGCCTTGGTGGTGAATGCAGTGTGCCTTCCCAATGTGTGACTCAAGCTGTTGAAGAAGTGCCTGATGAAAGGGGTGATGGAGTAGTTGTTGAAGACTGTGTGGATGTTTGTTATCCCAAGGTTATGTACTTAGAAATATATGGACACTTGATCTAGCCAATGAATAGGATGTCAATGTGGGAGGTCATTGAAAATCCACCTATCCAGCCTCTTCTATATACTAGACAACTTGGAAGACCCAAGAAGAAGAGAAACAAAGAGGCTGCAGAAAAGGAGAAAGAAGCTAATCCTACACAAAATGAGGCCACTAACATAAGTGGAGATATTCCACAGTCACAACAGCTCTCAAGGAAAGGCCAAGGGACCGTCAAATGTGGAATATGTAAAAAAGAGGGCCACAATACCAGGACTCATTATAGGCATTTTCCTACAAGACAAGAGGTGATATATAACCTTGTACAAAGTTATATGATTTCTAAGTTGATTTAAGACTTTATTAATCCTGAAATCCTTTAATTTGTTTTAGGCATCAAGTTCTGCACATGAAGCATCTAGTAATCCAGGTGGTGTACCAAGAAAGAGGGGAATGAAACCTAAGGTAAGCACTGTTTCACTTGTTTTATTTACTTAGGGTTTGTAAATGAATTTGTGGCCTATATTGTGATAACTTAGGGATTCTTTTGTATGCATTGGATGTGCATATTCTTTTGTGAGCATTGGATGTGCATATTCTTTTGTGATAACTTGTGGCCTATATTGTTGTTGATTTGGATATGTTGTACTGAACATTGGATGTAGGCATCAAGCATAGCTGGATGAGGTAATTCAGAGGTTCAAACAGATGGAGGAGTGAAGAAGAGAAAGAAAAGGCAACCAAGAAAGTGAAAAGTGTTGCTATACAAGAACAAACTGGGTTTTTTGATGTTGGAATTTTTTGCTAGTGGCTGGAATTTTTTGTGAATGTTGGCAGCAGCTAGGAACTGTTTTTTTGCTTAGTTATGAATTGTTATTTTGCTCCCAATTGGATTTGTAGCTTAGTAGGAACTATTATTTTGCTACTAGCTGGATATCCTTTCGGGAACATGCTAGCTTGTTGGGGTTCAGAATTGTTATTTCCAATTGAACTCCTAGATGTTAGCTTTGGTTGCCAATATATGGAACATGCTTGTTATTTGGTTACCAAGAAAGTGAAATATATTGCTACTTTAGTTGCCTGTTTGGATATTGAAATACATTTTTGCCTATTCATTGATTACTAGGTTCAATTATGTGGGAATATGCTTTTCTGCATTTTGGATTGCATTTGATGCAATTGTTCATAATTTAGCCGCTAAAACCCATAAAGAAATAGGAATTATATAAAAATGGTGGGAAAATTTTGAAATTTGAAATTTTGGCCATGTGGCACTTTTGCTGAGTTGGCATGACGTGGCAGATGGATATCCACGTGTGCAAGTTTTGGAGGGAGTGGGCTGACCTGTAACGGGGGTCCACTAATGCCACGTCAGTATTTAACATACCAATGGATGGAAAATGTAACAGAAGTATTATTTTGAAATAAAATAGTACGTGAGGTATGAAAGTGAAATGTTTTAAATATATTGTATAAGGTTGTAATAGATCTCCAACCTGAGGGAATATTATGTAATTTACCCCCTAAAAATAAGCAATGTAAATTCAATAAAGATAAATCCAAATCCACAAATATTTTCTCTCAACTAAAAGAGTTGGGGTTTGTAGGCCCAAATCCTGGGCCGGTTGTAGGCCCAAATCCTTATCGTGGGTCAACCACCTGCACAATTAACTTGAATTTTAAATCCATTCCAATCTTGGATTAAATCTAAATTCAATTTAAAAAAAAAAACACAAATCCAAAACCCTAGGGTTTTCAAATCCTCTTTTCTTCCTCTCCGTCTCCAAAACCCCGAGAAGCCCTGAGCGCGGAGGACGGCAGAGGCCACCACCCGCCGCCACAATGTCGATGTCAAAGAGCTCCAAGATGCTGCAATTCATAAACTATCGGATGCGAGTGACGATCCAAGACGGCAGGCAGCTCGTCGGCAAGTTCATGGCCTTCGATCGCCACATGAACCTCGTCCTCGGCGACTGCGAGGAGTTCCGGAAGTTGCCACCACTGAAAGGCAAGAAGACCAACGAGGAGCGCGACGACCGCCGGACACTAGGCCTCGTCCTCCTCCGGGGCGAAGAGGTCGTGTCAATGACCGTCGAGGGCCCGCCTCCTCAGGAAGAGTCTCGAGCTAAGGCAGCCAGTGCCGCCGCTTTGGCTGGTCCAGGATTGGGCCGCGCCGCTGGACGAGGTATCCCCACTGCTCCTCTCGCCCAGGCCCAGCCCGGTCTCTCTGGCCCGGTTCGCGGCGTCGGTGGACCAGCCCCAGGTATGATGCAGCCCCAGATCTCGCGTCCGCCAGTTCCGAACCTCTCCGCGCCGCCTATGTCGTACCCGGCCGCTCCAGTGATTCGTCCACCCGGGCAGATGCCTGGATATCCCGGGCAACCTCCGATGGGTCGTGGTCCACCTCCTGGTGTTCCGCCCCCTCAGTTTGCTAGGCCTCCTGGTGGGGGTCCACCTCAGCAATTCCCTGGCCCGCCACAGATGCAGTTTGGGCAGAGGCCTATGGGACCTCCGCCGCCTGGGCAGATGATGAGGGGTCCACCGCCTCCACCTCGCCCGGGAATGCAAGCTCCCCCACCCCGTCCCGGAATGCCTCCTCCACCTGGCGGTGGAATGCATATGTTTGGACCGCCTCGTCCTGGAATGCCACCTCCACCCAACCCTCAGAACCAGCAGCAAAATCAGCAGCAACAGTGATTGGTACTTCCTCACTTCATTTGTTTTGTTTCAATTCTGAACCGTTGGATTTGGCATCTGTTTCTGAATGATGATATAAATAATCTCCTGTTATGGTGTTGGATGTTTGGCATATGCTATGTGTGTCATTGGCAGTCTTTAAAGTTAATGGTTTCTATAGCAATTTCAGTTATTGAATGGAACCTTATGACATTGCGACGAGAGGGACCATTGAGAACTACCAAGACTATTCTTGTTTTAGTTCTGCTGCCGAATTCTATGTTGTTTGTTGAAGGAGATTTCTTTCTCCTCTTTAACACCAAATCTCAAGACCTGCAAGCCTATTCTTTGTGTTGTGAATGCCATAATGTATTGTTATGAAATAGTATGATGTTATATTCTGCTGCACACAACTCATCTGGAACTCGATCTTCCATCCTATATCACTGTTCTAGTCTAAATACTCACAAGTTGACAACCTTTGATGTCCACTAATGGGAAAATTGCACTTATATGCGTAACATATATAAAGGATTTGTCATATTATAGTCTATATAAATGGGGTATGATCGCATGGTATTGGTCGTATTGCTGTTGCAAAAAGTTGTGTCATTGTCCAACATCAATGTGTAGTAGTCTTGGTATGTTATTTTACTCTCCCTCTAGTTGTCACTGTAAAGTTTAGATGCTAATTTTACTCTCCTTTTTTGTAGAACCAGTTAGTACATCCTGTTTTTAAGTCTTGGGCTTGTTCATCTTAACTTTTAAGTGATTAGAAAATAGAATAGCTGTTGGATGTCATGTTTAGCGAACATTGCTGTACAATTGTCCCTCTATTTGCTGTAAGAATGTCCAGTCTTGGTAAAATGGGGGTGGGGGTGAAACACCCGAACAAACAAAAATAAATCATGATACAAATATCCTGATTCTTAGTAACCCCCAATATGTCATCGTTCAAGAGTCAAAACACACGACCCTCACAACTTCTTATCCTTTTTAACTCAAGATTCGGGCACTAAAATTGCAGTTGTAATAGTCATAACAAACTTCAGCATTTAGTTTTTAGGTTTATATAAAATTCTTGTGAATCTTTATTTTTACATAGGAGTTGAGGTTAGGACGTTTTTTTTTTTTTTTTTTTTTTTTTTTTTTTTTGTTTTTTGTCAAACGATTTTATTAGATTAGACGTTTTGCTTCTTTTAGCTTTACATTTTTTTTTTTCAAACAATCTCTTTTAATTGGAGAAATCAGTTGAAGTAAAGAAGCGCGATTGTATAACTTATGTTACCATTACAATCATGATTTTGTAAGATCATCTCATTATTTCTACTATCTATTTAAAGAATTGCTGCTGTTGCCACTTTCATTTATGAAAATTACATTTTTTTTGTCAGATTGATCTTTCATTCTCTTCTTGCTTGGAAGGTCACTTGAACCCATTGTTCGTGTTTTTTTTCGTGTTGCAGGTTTATTAGATGTGACTTTGAGGAATGCTGCTGGCTTGCATATTGTTTCAGTTTTTGTAATGGGTTTGAGCCTGTGCGGACCTTCCTCATCCTGTAGCTTTGGAGTGCTATGATAAGTAGCTAAACTACTGACCCTAAATGATATTTGTAGGTTTGCCAATTAATATTGAAATGCCTCTCTTTTTCCTCTCTCTCTCTCTCTCAGAGCAAATTTTCGGTGTGTCCATAACGCGGCTTAATGGGGTTACTATTCCGCTGAAAACACGTGGAATGGTACATCATGTAGCTTGTATTCCAAGTAAGCATAACCAAAAACAGCTTCACATGAAAGTAAATAAGAGCTTTTCATTTATAATTCAAGCATGACAATAACAAAATTACTGAGTCAAAAACACAACTCTTCGACACGACGTATAACCTACTTTAGGAAAGCAAGTTTTGGGTCCGAAACAAAATCTCCTGCTATCGATTGTAACAAATTTGATTGAAGAAACTAGTACATCGATGCTGTGTATTTTTGGAAGAAAGATCACCGGATAGGGGACTGTACCGGTAACAGTAGAAGTATCGAAAGAAAACTCTCCACGCAATGTATTCTATTTACGCGATTGAATGCAGCAAGATATGTAAGTTGCGTTTACATCAGTCTCAGTTCGTACTCGCCAGCCATTGTTATGTACCTCACCCATGGAAGAGCCTGGTAGCCACTTTTCTCGATGATCTTTAGGTATCGGACCTAAAAGATTCAAACGGGGGGGATAGGCACATTAGTTTGAACCAATCACACCATGGAACCCATTTGAGACAATAATGAAACTCATATCGTACCTGAATTCCTGAGACAGTAAAGTACGGTATCTCAAACTTCACTCGAATAGGAGCTCTTCTTTCGGGAACCGCTTCTTCAGCGGTTATACTAGGGAGCATAAACTCAGCTCTCAACATGTATTCCTAAGCAATTTAATACAGAAACAAGGTCAAAATTATCTTTGCGAGCGTTTTTGCAATCAATAATACACATAAGGGGAGGAGAAAGCATATGGAGGTTTAGACGAATTGTTACCTTATTACCGGGAAAAGACTTAATTTTCCAGACCAAAGCATCTCTTTCAGGAGCATATGCAGCAGATCCCATTGATGTCCGGACATTAGGATTTGTAGCATCAGCGGGCACAGGCAACTCAATTTCGACATTTGAAGCCGTGCTGTACGAAGTAACCATAGCTTACAGTGAGAACCGGATAGTGGCACTCGAGAATGAACTTTTGAATGTGTAAAAATGTTAGTTTTCATTATGCTGGAAAACCCAACAAATGTTCTTTTTACCTGCGCTCCTTGTACTGGCTCCTTGCTTTTACCGTGAATTCAATACGACTTCTAGAATGATTTTCAACTTGTGCTTCCACCCAGATAAGAGGCTTCACCTGAAATCATCGAAGGAACAAATGGTCGTTTCTGCTTCATATTTTGAGCAAATGTAAACGTGCATGTAATTAGGGGTTGGATCTCCGCAATTGATTAACTTATGCTCCCTTTAGTTACCAAAAACTTAACAAGAATCCATAAACATGGGGAAATAAGTATATTACTAGCGGTGAATATAACATGAAATGTACCTGAGTACTGAGTCTGTATGTCATCAGATCAAATGCTCCATCAGGGGGTATGAAGGATATAGTCCGGTCATTCTCAAATCGAGCCAAACGCACACACCTAATAGGGTGGGAAAAAGTAAAGTAAATAAAAAAGGTTGCAAGCATGTAACATGGCTTATGAATGAAGCAATAGAGACATGAATTAGCAATACAAAGCAAGTTAGGCAACATACTGATGGAACTTAATATCATCCAGATCAATTGCTTTTCCTTTCGTTGTTCGACCTTGTGCCTCTAGCAGCACTCTATCATTCAATCCCAGCTTACACTCGGGCATACCACTAAAAAAAATGGAGAAAGTTTAACCAGTCAGTTTCCGACATGACGTTAGTAAACATTACACTATCCCAGGGAAAAATCCAATAATCTTTACAAATTTTTAGGTTACTTTTCAATAATTACTCATTTTCCAGGCTCAAGTTAGCATCACTAGCCTTATAATTAGGTGCGATCTAGGTCAATCAAGTGACGTATGTAAAAAAAGGTCAATCAAGTGACGAACTCAAGAAGGAACATGCTAATAATTATGCTGGAGCTGCAATCTCCAAATCCTAAGCACATTTCATTCAGTGGGCTTTGTAGCAAATGCAGTTACTGCACCTCAAATATGTTCTCATCTTTAGGGCTCCTACGACATCTGACCGTATAATTTGTCCGTTGCTGTTGACAAGTATGTTCACACTTTCCACCACATCCAAAAAGACCTGATAGAAAATGAACGGAGATTCATGACACTGCAGTTGCAATTTAATAAATCAACGGTAAACATGAAAAGAGGATCAACCTACTTCGTTCTTCTTGAACTGTATCCCTTCACTGCGCCAAGACACCGCATTTGTAACAGCCATGGGAGGACGTTGTGTCACCTCCATCCTGTAAGCATCAGTCTTGATAAACTCACTAAGAATCTTCGCTTCAGTGAATTGCGGGAAACCAAAGTCCATAATCTCATCGAGCAACTCATACTGTCAACAGACAAGGGTATTATTAGAAATTTCGCATACCACCATCAAAATTCTATGCATCATTCTACCTATAAACACCTTACAAGTCAATTACCACAACGACAAAGTTGTCTCTTAGCGATTCTTCTTCAAGCTCTTCAAAATAGTGCTTAAACACCTGAAAACATGAACAAACATATCGAAACACATGAAAACCTCCACACGGGCAATAATCTATGACGAATGGCGGCGACATTACACCAAATACAGCTAAAAAATATAGCAAGAGAGAGTTTGAAGAGTGCTTACATCGATTACACAGTGCAGAAACAGCAGCAAGCTAGCAGCATTGCAGTTCTGCCTCGATGCAATCATCAAGTAGATATTGTTGTGCTGTATAAACATGTAGCTGACTCCATTGTCGTACACCACTGGATCTTGCGACTGCGGATCGCCCTGAAAAAATACAAATTTTCCAGTAAACGCAAACGATTCAGCTACTTTTTGCCAAAGTTTGAAACTTTTTATTCCGATTGAGAAATTGATGCCAACCCAATTGCAATTGCAGCTGAATATATGCGTGTGTGCATATATATATATATATAGATATAGATATATATGCGTGTGTATATATACATATAAAAGATTACCTCTTTTTCGATGAACTTGGTGAAGAAGCGTTCAGCCTGAGCAGCAGAGACATCGCCACGGTAGTCGCGCCAAATCAAAACTCGTCCTTTGATGTCCAACAGAAAAAGCGCCGAGGCGGCGCCGGCCATCGGATTGAAGATCGAGAGATTTGGATCCGACCCAGTACTCACCACCACCCAAGGATCATTCAAACCAATCTATCTTGTTCTCTGGTTCTGATTTCTATGGCATAAACACTATACATATCAAGAGCAATGAAATTTTGGATATGAATTTTTGAAGCTTGAATTAATCAAGAGCAATGTAATTAATCAATTAAAATAAAAGTCGGGCAAATTTGAGCTGTTGGTGATGAAATTCAATGGATCTTGCCGCTAGTCATACTTTTCATATTTCAGTCTTCTGAATAGCCATATATAGAAAAGCCCAATGAAACTGGTTTCTCTTTTGCCCAACTTAGCAAATTATGTGGGCTTTTATAGTGGGTTTATGCAAAAGTTTTGTGTTAACTTTTTTACATGGAAAAATAAATTACTAGATAGTATGACGGGAATCACATCCAATTTCAAAACAATCAAATAAGAAAGCTTTTCTTGCTACTAAAGGTAAAGTCATATCCCAAACATGGAAATTATTAAAATTAAAAGCAATGTTAGTGACTGCATTCGTAACAAAATTTGTCTCCCTGTAAACATGGTTCAACGAAATGAAGTCAAAAGCGGTTGCCAACCACTTGATGTCTTCAACAATGTTTTTCAATCGGAAAGGGGTTGAGCAGAAGCCTTTAATCAATGACTAGTTTAGAGTCACCTTCCACACAAACGTTCTTGAAGCCCTTTACTTTGGCCAACCAAAGAGCATCCCTTAAAGCTAAAGCCTCAGCTACAGAGATGTTGTTCTCTTCCAGATTTCTAGCTCCAGCAACAATGGTCAAACCATCTTTATTTTTAACTATTTGAGTAACAAATTTATGGCGAAATTTTGTGTTTTTTTTTTTTATTTTAATTTTTTATATAAGATGCAGACACCATTTTTTTTGTTTAATGGACTTGGTGTTTTTTTCTAATTTGAAGTTTTCATTTCTGGATGCTAATAAGAACACTACTCGGCTCATTCTCTAGAACGAGTTGTTTTCTCTTCCAACAAATCATTGTTTTGGCACTTATGCAAAAATTATGTCAAATTGTGATTGACATATAAGTAACACTGACTACTCTCAAAGGAACGAGACAAGTATTACATTTTTGTTAAACTGGATGTGACGTTAGCATTTCAGTTTTCCTTGGACCGTTGAAAAAAAAGAACGATACTTTCAACATATCAATTGAAGATTTTGGCATGTTTGAACATGAACGACCTTTAAACACTTGTACACCTCCTTTGCTCAAATAGTCAATTTTTACTTGACCTTCAAGTACTATCTTCCACTCATGAGTAAGCCACTGAAGACCTGGCTCTTCCCTCCAAGCAATGCTTCCCATTCAATTGAGAACGTCAATATTTGGGAGAGTGTTTGCACAATGTCTTTCATCTCTGGTCTATTTACTGGATCTTCACTCGCACACCTCAACGCTATTTCCGCCATCTGACATATACAATAGACGTATCATAAACTTGGAGTCCGTTTGTTAACTATTTCGTTATAAGTTTTTAGTTTTTGTTTTTCTGTTGCACAAACCTTGTAGACTTCTTCCATAGGGTAACTTCCTTTCATGTTACCATCTATTTGAGCTTCCAAAGCATCTTCTGGATCTTCTTCTTTGAAAACTGCGTATATCTTCATAAAAAGCAGAAAAATGTTGCTAATTCCGAGTCACTTGGAACAAAGATTGGTTCTTTGATTAAGAATTTAATTAGCTGACTTACAACTGAGATGAGTGACTTCATCCTTTTCGGTTCTCGGTTGTCACAAAAAATTGCACGCTGACCGGTTATTAGCTC